GCATTCTTCTACACACGCAGCCATAAGGTTGTTACAAGGCCTTAAACCCCTAAAGGTAGCGTTCGACGCTGTGTTGAAAGGCCTGTCCGAGAGAGCAGTGCTTGTAGAGTTAGTCTTGCGCCCTTCCGTGTACCTAAGAACCTCCACACACACATCCATCTTGCCAGTTCTTACGGTACACGTGTCTGACCGGCAATGAGTCATGTCTCCGTCAGCTTCCCATTGGCTCATAATTGGACAGCCATTGACACCACAGGTTCAAGGTCTGTGCGGCACTGGGAGTGAGTTACCTCAGCCCCGTGCGTATTTCTCTCCTCCCTCCTCTTATTGTGTATGAATTCTTTGTTGTTGCTCATTTGTCGCTCTCACCACTCTCGTAGTAGCTCTTCAGATACGCCTTTGAGTACATATCCAGCCCCTCCATCTGTGTGCGGTTGACCAGTTCGTCTGCCGACCCCTCCTTGTCTCCACCAATAGAACTATACCGGTGTGGATGGAACGAGACTTGTTTACTCGGGTATCAGTTGCACGTCTACGTGATCCCGTTTATTTTGAGCTCTCAACTCTTCGTACATCTCCCAATTCCGTAGCTGCACACACACGTACAGCATCGCAAGTCGTATCTCCACATCCTGCTGCTCCACCTGCTCGTCAGTGAGTGTCTTGGGGTGGGTGCCCGTCTGTGTGCGGCTGCTATGTCGCGCCTGCATATCCCGCAGCACATCCAACGCCTCCGCCCGATTCATGTCGCAGCATATACCTACCAGCCACATCACCCCCGCATGCTCTCGCCCCAGCCCTCCGTCCGCCTGCAAAGCACGCACCACACTCCTGACCATAGGCCACTTGTTATGCTTCACACATGTGTCTAGCACCTGCTGACTCACCCGCATGTCCTTGAGCGCAGCCACGTGGGTGCGGGGCTCAAGTGCGCCCATGTCTTCCAGCCATGCATACGCTCTCTGGGGCTGCGTACCCTGGACCAGTTTAACTGGACACAGCCTGTTGTCCTTGTCCTTGTCCGTAGGTTCTAATAGCAGCCGACTGAACTCGCCCCACTCGTTGCAATCAACAGCCACGTCCGCGACTGCGCGATCTATCTCCGATCTCTCCCCGGCATCCAACGTTTCCCTCGCCAATATATTCCGAGCCACGCCCAAGGCCGCCAAGACCTTATCCTCCCGTCCACAGGCTCGTATCGCCATGACATACATTGGTACATCCGGTACAAATCGCTCTATTGGATGGCACTCCATCAAGCGCACCAATTTAACAGCCAGCTGCCATTCACCGGCTGAGGCGTGCATGCTCATCACCGACGAGTAGAGGGCCCCGCCGAAACAGGAGCGGGAGTGCGCAGCCCTTAGAAGCTGGTATGCGGTTTCGATCCCGTGATCATTGTTGCCGATGGGTATAGCCTGTGCGTAGGATTTGGCGATATAGTTGATCTTTTCCAGAGATTCCAGTCCGAGCCCATCGGCCTGCTTGTCTATATTCTGAGCTATCTTTTTAGCATACGATTTATTGCCGCCGCGTCCACATGTGTTAAGTACCGATTTGTACGCGGGGTGCGACAGACGGACGTCGGCGCTCTGCAACACGCCCAGTAGATCTATGAGATGCCCGGGCTTGCCTTTCTCCACCACAGCAACCAGGACCTTGTCTGCGACTCTCCTATCCACTGCAAACCCGCCGCAGACCATTACTCGTAGCGTGACTACAATACTGTCCCACTTCCTACTGTGCACATGATTCTTTAGTAGCCACTCGAGCACATCTTGAAGTTGTGTTGAAGCGCCGCTCGCTATGTACCCGCCTTGTTGCATCTCGCTTATAATCCGGGTGGCTAAACCTGGCTCACTCGCGCCTCGACACACCTGCAGAAAGTGGTAGTACATGTCGCGTACATACGCCACTCTGCACTCTTCGTTGGCACCCACACTCACACTATCCCGACGTACTAAAGACATCACATGCTGCGCCATAGACCACTCTCCATACCGGCCGCACACATGTATAAAGTACTTGTAGGTAGCTGGTTGCACAAAAGTACCGTACTTCCCTGCTTTCGCCAGCAATCCAATCGCGAACCCCAACGTTTCCCGCGTATCCAGACCCCACACCGCCGCATTATACGACGCGGAGCTGAACTTCAGCCCGTCTTCGTATATCTCATCTAGGACACTATTGAATCTGAGCGGCCAATCATCCCTCGTCACCCGCAAATCGAACACGTGTGCATACACGGGACGGTCTAAGGTGAACCCCTTGCTACGCATGATCATACACAGCCACCTCACGTCCTCCCAGTCACCCACCGCCGCACACACCTGAACTGCGTACGCATACCGGGCAGTGCTTATCGGATCGTCGTTGTGTCGCATGCTTCGCAATATCGATAGGGCGCATTCATTAGCTGGCAAAACTTTGGGGCTCTCCGCGAGTGAGGGGAGTATCCGTCCTTGTGTCTGTGTTTGTGCTTGTGATTGATTGTGGGTGTGTGCTAGTGCCGGTGTCTGAGTGTGTGATTGTTCGTGCAATGGCGCTGATATCTGCTTTTGTTCTTGCGTCTGCACTTGTGCGGGTTTGTGTGGTGTATGGGTGGGTGTTGGTTCGTGATCTCCAGTTTCACTTAGCCCTGCTCCCAAACCACCAACTTCAGGGCCCAATTTGTCCTCACGCGCCGCATCCGTCAGCACACGCGTAAGAGCACAAGATAAAAGCTCTGGTGCCGTATCTCTACCTTTCTTAGAAGCCATCGGCGTATAGTTAGCTGCCTTCTTTGAGTTTAACTTCTCGCATTCGGCAAACACACCCGTCTCACAACTCGCCAGTACCATGTTGTGTGTGTGCGCGGAGACGCTTAGCTCGGTCGTGCGCATGTCCTCCAGAAGACTTTCTGCGGCCACCCACCAGCCAACTGGTGCACACGCCTCTATCGCGGTAGCGTATGTAGTTGCGTCTACAAGCCTCTCGCCATCCTGTCCTGCTACAGTGTGCGCCGCATTTGCACTCGTGTCGGGTGTACTGCTCAAAGCGTCGCTGGACTTCTGCATGGAAGTGGCTGGAAGCTCTCCCTTGTTCTCGGTCGTAGCCTTCCCGATCACCTGCTCAGAGTGTCCATCTACACTCTTTCCAAGTGCGACATTGCTATCCACACCCGCCGGTATATGTTGCACGGACGCTAGCCCGTTGTTTGGGGTCTGATTACTCAAGCGCACACCCACTCCCCCGGCCCTCATCGCGTCTATCAACTGCAGCACCATACTCGCCCGTCCCTCAGGTACACACCCCGCAATAATACGGCTGTATGCAGAAAGAACATGCAAATCTTGTTTCTGCATGGTTTTTGTGAGATCTGCGACATCAGCATGTTGCCCTGCTTCGGCGCACGCGCGTATGACATTGCTGTAGATCTCTACGTTGGGTATACATCCGATACGCTGCATGTCTTTGAAAAGCTTTCTGCAGGCCTGTGATAGAAGGTGTTTGTGAGAGTCACGTGTCAGAAAACACAATCGAAAGTAGGACTGAATTGCTCGATACAGGAATCCAACTGAATCTGTTATTTGTGTGTATACATGTGTATATGCACTCTACCCCACACACCGCATACCCGTTGTCCGCACACGCACTCTCAGCAATGAGATCTCTACACAAGTATCTGATCCAACACTTCTGCTCACACAGCGTGCGACTTCAGACATCCAAGGGTGCACCTTCTGCACCTGATCTTAAGGCAGGGGGCAGGGTATACTGGTGATCATGCTCACATAGAAGTAGAATAACCCTCACAGGGCCGTGCTGTGCTCCCTAATGAAGTGTGCAGTTGAGCTACACATAAACAACCCGACTTGGTTGTTATGCAGAGTATTGCGTCGGCAAGCATGCAGCCTCACATTCAAACAGGCATAGTTGCTATACAAGAAACCATACACCTAACGAGTTCACATAAAGGTAACCCCCCTTCGCGCGCCCCCCCCAAAGGCACACACACACACCTGCCACTGCCCGGCGTTCGCACAAATCTCCGTCACCTTCGCATACATGGCCTGGTCCGGGAACACCGTCCTTCTCGTCCGCATATATTCCACAATGCGCACGGCCACTCTCCACCCACCCTGTGGCTCGCACAATTTCACCATCGCTCGATACGCAACCAGGTCCAACTGTGCTGCCGAGGGGTCTGCACGCGCCATGTCGGTAAAGACGCTCTGGGCCTCGTCCCACGCTCGAAACCGCGCCAGTGTAGTGAACGTGTTGTGATACACTGGGATGGTCCTTGTCTCTCGTCGGCTTTGGTACAGTTTATGCACTAACTGGATATTGTCCTGGGTGAGAGAGAAAAGGCAAGGTACATGAGGGTTGGTCGCTTGCCATAGGGTGTCCCGATCTGTATACATGCAGGACTTGACATATGCAAATTTATATAAATGAACATGCGATGACCAAATCTTTATATATAGACTTAGGATATTCAAACTTGTATATATGAAGAACTTATATCCATATTTGTATATATGAAGAACTTGGGATTATCCAAATTTGTATATTTGAGGAGCTTAGGATTATCAGAATGTGTATATATGAATGACAATCTGTACACATGAAGGACATAGGATATGCAAATCTGTATATATGAAGAACATGAAGAACATGGGATATTGAATTATTAATATATGTACATCATAGGATATCGAAATCCGTACACATGAAGAACACAAGAAATTGAATTCTGTATATATGCAATGGTGTATATATACGAGGCACAAAGTAGCATATGAGAAGGCCAAGAGGAGTATGCGTATTAAAATATACACATGTATGCATTATATAACATATGCGATATGTCGAAGCATCTACAAAGCCACAGTCCGACAGAGACTATTGCATTTCGGCGTCAGATATTTTGCCACTGCATATTCGTTTGTACGGATGCTATCCACATATACCGGACAAGAACATACTACTTTAGGAGTGGGCCTCTTGGGGCATTGGCATATAACGAATATCAAGGCACCTGAACGTGGAAGCAGTCGTCAGGCGCATGAACAGCCTGTGAGACAATGTGTATTCATTGAATGTAACCATCAAATGTAATCAATAAATATAAATATTAAATTGTAATTTAAATGTAATCATTAAAAGTAATTATTATAAATGTAATCATTAAATGTAATTTAAATGTAATCGATAAATGTAATTATTATAAATGTAATCCCTAAATGTAATCATTATATGTGATCATTAAATGTAATCATTAAATGTAATCATTATGAATGTAATCCCTAAATGTAATCATCTAATATAATCACTATTGCAATCATTAAATGTAAGCATTAAATATAATCAATAAATGCAATCATTAAATGTGATCATTAAATGTAATCATTAGCTTAAGCATTAAATGTAATCATTAATTCTAAGCAATAAACGTAATCATTGAATGTGATAATTAAATGTAACCATCAAATATAATCATTAAATGTAATCATTACACGTAATCGTGAATTGTAAATATGAAATGTAATCATTCAGCAACCAATTGATAGTAAACTGTAGCATTGTCCATTGCCGCATAAGTACAGCGCCAGTTATCCAAAGTAGTATGAGCTCGCATCACAGACAGTGTGAATGAGCATGACTTGAAAACAATTGGTGCTGCTCCCATTTGTTGGCTAGAAGTAGCAATGAACCAGCACAAGCAGATCCACATGCGATGTCGCGATATCAGTGCAGATTGACATGAATGGTACTAGATCACTAGTGTATGTCTGTACCTGTGAAGATTCGATGCTCGCAAACCCCTTCAACACGTGCGCGTATTGTCGATCGGAGAGCACGTTATTCGCACCCATGTAGTCTACAACCTGCAAGGTACAGACATATACAGACGTATTAATACCAGGATACAAATGCGGGTGCGGATGTGGATTTGCGCCAAAACATAGGCCTCTCGTCAAGTGATCTGTAGGAGATGTGCACTATGCACGCACAAGGCCATATCTGCGAACACGCACCCATGTACACGTCACACTTAGACACATACATATACCACTTATATTTTAGGGTTTAGGGTTTTAAACCGCTATCAGGCGACCCACAAATATATGCATTGCTCTGAATCGACTTGGACTATAATATGAGTGCACACTCTTTGACACTCCGCGAAGCGCTACACCTTCCTACCACAGTCCAAATCCAAATCCACACACACCCAAGCCCATACTTCACTACTCGACACCACATACACACACGCCCAAAACATCTGAATCCATACACATCTATACCCATACTTCACTACTCGACACAACATACACACACACCCATACCATCCAATTTCACACACACCCATACCCATACTTCACTACTCGACACCACATACATATTCGATACCCCATCCCACCCCCACCTTCCCACCTACCAACGCAGTCCAAACCCACCCACTCACCTCTCGCCACCTGTGCGGCTGTCTCATGTTGCGGTACACCTCCAGAGCGAACACGCTATCTACCCCATCCAGCTGTTTCTTCGCCAGCAACACACTCGCTCGCCTCATAGCTGCGCTATAGTCGCCACTGCGGCGTGCGTCTTTACACAGCTGCCCTAAGGTTTGGGTGTGCATGGACACTGCTACACCTGTGTCCGTTTCGGGGCCCGTGTGCTGGGTATGCGCAGTGGTTCCTGGTCCATCTGGCCTGCCCTGTACCTGCACCTGTGACTTGGGGTGTGGGTGCATGTTGTGGGGTGCACTATCGTGTCCCTGGCCTTGTCCCTGTTTGTGGGCGTGTGCTGTATCGCTAGAACTCCCCTGGCCGTCTCTCGTAGGCTCAGTCTGCGATGCGTCCACGGATGTCTTGGTACCGAACTTCTGCGGGGTGTGACTATCTGGTTGAGCACGCATGTCCACGTGGTGAGTTTCCGTGTAGGCCTTCAGATTAAGCACTGGGCGTGTACCAGTGCTTGGTGGGTGTGGTTCTGTGGTGATGTGTGTGTATGTCGTTGCTATCTGTATGTTATCTGTATGTACATTCAACTCGCTACGTCCCTGTGTGAGCTCGTCCGCATGCCTGAGTGTGCTCCCATGACTACGCACACTTTCGTGTCCTCCCCTTTCATCCAGTAGTTTGTTTCTAAGCTGTTCTAATCTCGTTGGTGTGCTCTGGTGTTTAACATTATCGAGTGCATGCACTTCAGATGTATTACGTACGTGCAACTTAGATGCGTCGTGTGCGTGCACCTTAGGTGTGTCGTGTACACTGCCGTGTCTCTTCATAGCACTATCCCTATGATCTTTGCTAGAGGTACACATCATCCGCAACGGCGATTGCACACTACGCAAACGCAACGGAATGCATGTGGAACCCCAGGACTCATGAGTATATAAACGCCTCCTTCGCCTAATCTCACTATTGTGCACAAGTGGTCGTGTATACATACATTGTGTGCGGTTGCTTCTGTGTGCAGGAGTGCTTGTGTGTAGTCCTACGCCTTTGTGCATTGGCCTAATCGGTGCAATTGAAGAGGTGCGAACACATGCTGTGTGTGTGCGATAGACAACACGTCCATACCCACCGGCTATGTGTGTGGCGAGTTCTTTGCTGAGCTGCATGATGACTTGAGTATCTATTTGTAGTACTCTCACAGGTGAAAGTAATATATACTCTTAACTCTACAATAAAATTAATCAATGTGTGTACGTCATACTAAATATTAAACTATTCTAGTTCCGAGAACCCAATGTGAACTATTTAACTAAACATTGCGGTGTTCAAAGTGTGACTCCTTTCAGCGTGTGCCATCGCCTGTATGTGTGTGTACACCGTTATATAACTACCGTCTGAAGGGTTGAGTACTATGTAGAACTCTCTCTCTCTCTCTCTCTCTCCTACTTACAACGCTCTCTTTATAACTAAACATGTGGTGTTCAAAGTGTAGCTCCTTGCACTATGTACCATCGCCTCGCGTCTGTGTACACACACGTCATATATTTAACTATTTATTTTAGTTTAGTTATAATATTGTTAGAAATACACCTTCTATACAGTTGTTGCGTATGCCAAAGAAGATCACTACTCTCTCAGTCTTGTGGAATATAGGGTGCGCCACCCCGAGACACCGCCAATCAGATTGAAGTAATTCCTCACATTTAGGATTAAACTTTAAAAATAATAATTGACAATTCTCTACACGGCTGTACACAATATGATATGATATAGTGAAATACCATATCCTTTTGACCTTTAGAACCTCTACTACGATGTGTGACACAGTTCCGTTGCGTATAGGCACATATATGCAGATGTCGGTAATAAACACAGTGCATATGTTAGAAAGACACAAAGATAGTAATAAATGAAAGTGAATGGTAGACTGTATCGTGGATGTGTAGTTGTGGCGTCCTCACCTATATGACGAGTACTCAACAACAACAAATGTTGCATAGAACGGTAGTATGTAGATACACCGTTATACAAATAGAATGAATGATCTGGAGATTAGACAGGTATACGGTCGCGCGGTCATGTGAACGGTGAACCCCTTGGTCAACACGTCTACAGATGCTGATATACTGGAGGATTATACGACTATACAAATACACGTTTAGTGTACGAGTGCGAGCACATAACAATTTTGATGAACCGATTACAACGCGTACACGACCTAAAGCACATATTGACACATGTAGATTAACAGCATCCATGACTATACCAGTACACGTTGTAGAAGCTGTGATTAATGTACACAATTTGAACCCCTATACATAT